AAAAAAAAAGAAAATCACAAAGAACAGCTCCCTTTTATGACAATCCACTCATATAATAATTAAAACGCACCCAGCAGAGAAGAACAGAAAGTCACTGACACCTTTTAATCACCCAATCATCTCTTTTATTAGAATTAATTATACAGGATAATGATTTTCATCGTGACATTTTCATGCACATATATGATATCCTTTGATCATATCCACCCTCCTCTTGATCTGTTTTCTCTTCTCTGGTAACTTTTATTCCACCTTCATGTCATCTTATTTTCCTTTCTTAGACCCCACATATGAGACAAAACATATTTGTCTTTCTGATCTGGGTTATTTCACTCAATATGTTGATCTCTAGTACTATTGGTCTTCTTAAAAGTGATATTTCATTGTTCTCTATGGCCATACAGCTTCCATTACCACATCAGGAGCAATTAAAACTTAACAAATTTTGGATGGAACAAACCATCCAAATTTTGTATCCAACACTACGTACGATCCCACAATGTTTCTTCCTCTCAGCTAAAAGTACTAGTTCATAGTTCCTCTGTGAAATTTGACACATTTTCTTGCTTTGCATGTGACTCAGGCTTTGAACAAACCTAGATTGTTCCAGAACTACCTGATACTAGGTGCATGAATGTGGGCGTATTACATCAAAATCCCTCAAACTTATACTCCATTACCAAAAGAGAAAATAAAACACAGTGACTAGACCAGATAAGCTAACAACAGGGGTGGGGGTTAATTCAAACACCATTCATAAAGTCTGTTGCAGGGATTAGAAGAACCAGCTATAAGTCCTGAATAAGTAGGGGAATAAGCAGCTAATGGAACCATGCTCTTGAGAGGTGGCCCAGCAAGTGACCATCTTTTATGGGGAGGAATTCAGCATCTATCAGATACCCAGAGAAATGACTGTTTTGAGTTCATTCCCCTTTCACCTTCTACTAGCCAGCCAGTGTATCACCCTTCCAACCAATACCAGTAGCAGCCAGAGGAGACAGTGGAGGGTAGAGAGAAGAAAACCTCAGTACAGATAGGAAGGAGCATATCCATGGCACAGAAATCTCATGGTAGTAATCTGAAGACTAGCTAGAATACCAATCTGTCATAGGCTCATTTCTGTTCCTTTCTGGTATTTATTCCTGCTGTCTCTTAGACTTTGGCTCTGACTATTCTCCGTATCTTCCCAGCCTCTAAAATCTGCCCCCATCTAATTTGTTCCAGAGATTGGCTCCAGCTCTTAAGCCACTTTTACTATCTCCACCTCTTTGCAAATTGCCTTTCTCGATGAGTTATAATGTTTCTCACTTGGGGGTGACACTGCTCTTTCACAAGTTCCTTTCACTGCACTAGTACACACCTTCAATATCTGAGAAAGGCAGAAACTCAGACAAAGTAAAAATAAGTGGCACCCTTACTAACAACTACCTGATATTTTGTGCATGAAAGGGGTTGGCCATACTTTATACTCATTTCCATATCTGATTTTAGGTCAGAAACATTAGCATTAGCAAGCTACAAAGAATCATCAAAGGAAGAAAACAAGAAGAAAGGAAAAGTGTAAGGGGGAAATCCACAGACAAGGATTAATGGTTACAGTCAGAGTGAGAAGGAAAAGACACAGACAAGCAGGGGCAGGGCACAGTGGTGTCTTCCTGTAATTCCAGCACCCAGGAGATGGGGACAGTAGGATCCTGGGTTCCAGGCCAACCTGGCTTGCATAGCAACTCAGGTCCCAGTCAATCTGGACTATACAATCAGATCCTGTAAGAGATGGGAGGAATCAGAAAAAGAGAGGGAGAGGGAGGGAAGGAGGGAGGGAGGGGGCAAGGGAGGGAAGGGAGAATGAGAGAAAGATTTAAAAGGACATTGCCAGCAAAGTTTTTATGTTCCAGTTTTCAAACAAAGGTAAAAATGATGTTCCGAATTCCTTTAAAAGTATGTAAAAACGGTGTTATCTAAGAAGAGATGACGAAAATCATTGACAGTACTGAAACTTAGAGAGGATACCTTCAGTTTCCTGGGAATTCACGTGTGCAAATGGCTCATTCTTATGCGGGGAGATAACTAAGTTACTGTACTGTCTTACTTTGGCCCTCATTATTTCCTATATTTATTATTATCTCCTACGCTCTCTGAACTATGGAACCAAAGATTTACTTGTGTTCGGTCCACTCCTAGGCTACTCACAGAAGTAGATAACACAAAAACTTACAGCAAAAGAAAATAGAAATGGAGCCAGGAAAACCTGAGATCAAATTCCAGGACTGAATAATATCAACTTAATTTAAAGCCCTTACAAACTTGTTGGTAGCGACCCATAGCTCCACGTCAACCCACCATGCTTTTATCAATATCAAGTATTTGATGTTTGTTTTTCAGGCTGGATCAAACTGAAGGGAAGACTGGGGACCAAAAGAAGATAAAACATGGTCTCAGAACTTGATCATGTAGCATACACAAGCTGCTACCACAATTCAGAGGTTCATTTGACAACCAGTTGTTAGAAGTCTTTTCTTCTCACAGAGTTGTTATGTAGCAATTAGATGGCTTCCTGGTACCTAATAATTAGTCAACAGATGTTTGGATGCTGGAAGTTCAGGTAGAGTTGTGATGAGTCTGGTGGTTGTCCACAGGTCTTTGGAAAGCAATGGGAAAGACTTTGGCTTCCCTCTGTCCTCTTTTCAACCAGACTCCTGTTTCTCCATCCCTTCTTGTTTCCAGGTTAAATGTGAAGCAACATGCTGAGATCCCCACCTTGCAGACTCTCCCAGAGACTGCTCCCTGGTGTCTCCTCCATGCGCCCACATCTTCTCCATGGTAAGTGTCATTTCTCCTAGAACTGTGGAGGAACTCATTCAGATGTCTGATTTGTCTGTGATGAGTATTTTATCAGTTGCTTCCTACCAATGCAAAGTGCTACATACTTGTCATAATATTCAAGTTTCTTGAGATGATACTTTGTGCTAAGAGACAACATCACCCTCTTTTTACTGATCATCAGCCTCAGGTCACACAACTAGAAATCACGGAATGGAAATGCAAACAAAACATCTTTCTTTCACAGCTTCAAAGGCTTATACTGAAAGGACAGCAGAAACAAGGCAACCTAACTTTTACAAGACTATCAGGACTTGGGTCCAAGCAAGACTCTTACGATTTAGACCACGCCTTTAAGAGCAGATATCACACAAAATGAGCACCACAAGTGTATACCAGAGTGTAAAAAAGAGTGTTTTGAACGCACCAAATCTCTAAGGTATACGAGAACATAGTGGAGGAGTTCAACACCTCATCCGTAGCTTTAACCATATTAATAGATGTTCAAGGATGGTAAAGCTAATGCTTACTACATCGTAGGAAAGTCACATGAGCACTGCTGAACAAATCACAGTACAACTATAATTAATTCCCTTGTGAAAATAAAGGTGACAGAAACTAAAGTCAGGAGCTGTTTAGGAAAAGGTTTGATGAAGAATCTGAACCTTTGATTAGAATGGTTTTGATCCTTGGTTTTTATTTCTTCCCTGCTTTTACTTTCTTCTTACCCACTAACATGAATCACTAATGTCTCCTTCCAGTTCTTAAACAAAATTACCCATTCATAACTATGTACCAAATAAATGGTTCATTATTAAAAAGCAATTGGAACAAAAATCACTCACATATTAACTGTGAACAATGGTCATCATTTGAATTACATGAAAAGGATTTTTTTCCTAAGAACATGCTTTGTGATAAGATTGTTGTTTTCTAAAAAAAAAAAAAAA